GGCCGTAGTTAGCGTCTGGTTCAACTTATGGTGAAGTGATTGCACTCATTTGGAAAGAAATGCAAATTGCCATCTTCGACGACCAATATAGCAGAAAATACACTGTGACTGTGTTTACGCCACTGTTTTAGACAAAATTTGAAGTCTGGTGCACCCACAATGTCTATTCAGTTCCAACCGCATAAGCAGCCTACCTGTCTATTACCCACTACCTCGTCCATACTGGCTCCAGGGGACAGTTGGTCGTTGCTTGAGGGGACGGTGTGCATGATCCTTGTGGCCGTGTTAGGATCAAAGAGTGATTCCATGCAGTCAGTGTGGAGCGGACTACGGTCCAGCCACCGCCTTGTGTGCGCTTGATTCCCAAATACAGTGTGCTTGTGTTTGCCTGTGAAGGAGTGTGGGCCGGCTCAGTTGATAAAACCTGGCTCCCATTTACATACCTCCCGGTCTTATTCCTTCGAATTTACACTGGATATGGGGTCTGTGGATAGAGTGTGAGTGGTGCGGTGCAACACACCGTTGATTCCAATGTAAGCGCAAGCGTCCTGTTTGTCCTACGAAGGCCGCAGTGACAGCCAAATTCAAAATCTGGACGTCGCCAACCATTTATAGACACCCGGATAGCGCTCGCCTGGCCAGTTTCCTCCGTTAGTCCTTTGTGGATAACAGTGTTTCGGCGTTAATTCTTGGCAATTTCATTCCTCCTTTTTGCTGTTCCATATTTATTTCTCCTTGTCGGATCCACAAATCTTGTGGTTTTAAATTTCCTTCTGGTCGTTTCCTTGATTCATATTTTTGCTGTCATGTCTGCTGAGATCTTAATAGTAGTAGTAGCAGTAGTAGTAGTAGTAGTAGTAGTAGTTGTTGTTGTTGTTGTTGTTGTTGTTGTACTTTTTGTTGTTGTAATCTCAGCAGCCTACGAGGTCTCCGTAATGACGAAGCAGGCTGCCTGTGGCACTTGTTGCAAAATCGTTGGGCATAGTGATAATGCTGTCACATGCCTAATTTGTTACATACCTTTTCACACTTTGTGCATTTGTTTATCCATTGATCAACTTAAACTTTTGCGTAAAATTTAGCAACATTTTGTCCAAATTGCAGTCAGATGCAGTCGAGACCAGGCGAGTTAACAAGAAGGACGAGTATCTCCGTGTGTTTAATCCTACCATCGGAAGCCCACCCACCTTTATGTTCGAACGAGCGCATCTGCCCGCCGGCTGCTACCTCTCCGGAACAATGTCTGTCCGGTATTGAAGGCTCAGCTGATGTATCTTTGTTACTTCCTACGGGCGCGGGCGTCTCGTTGTGTGATAGCGAAAGCAATGAAAGTCTGACAATTGCAATGAAGGAAGAAAGAGGTAACCGACAGCGCTAAAATCAACTGATGTAAATGCTCAGGCGGTGACCCACGTAATGTGCGTCGCGGTTCATCGTATCAAATGCTTTGATGAAATCAACAAATAGCGAGTACAGCGGCTGATGTCGTTCTGCACTTCTCCTGCAGCCGACGAGCCGCAAACACCATATCTTAAGTGCTTCGACTCGAACGGAATCCACATTGCCTTTCCACCACGTTCGGTTCCACAACCTGACTGACTAGGTGGTTGAGCATGATTCGGGCAATCAACTTGCCCACACAACAGCAAGTTGATACCACGATACTTCGTGGCACATTGCTTACTTCCTTCGCCCTTGTACAGTGCCAGCACATGGGCATCCTTCAGCTCAGGAGGCATTTTCTTCTCAATCCGCATGCGTTGCATCAAGTGGTGCAGCGGAATCACCAACACGGGTCCGCCGTGTTTCATTACTTCGGGCGGAATCTCGTCGGTACCGGAACACTTGCCATTTCGCAGCTGAGCAAGTGCTCTTCGCGTCTCTTCCACTGTCGGTGTGTTGACAAGAGACGTCTTCATTTCTTGTTGCAGCCTGTGCAACGCAATCTAGTCGATCTCTAAACGGTTGTTCAAAAGACAATCAAAGTTGTTTCGCCAGATCTGCATTATGTCTGCAGTCTGTGTGAAGGTAGCGCCTGATGTACCATCGATCCGTGTCGTCAGCGGCTCCAACCTCGGTCCATACACCGCATTCGAGGAGTCAAAGTATTCCTTATGTTGGCGGCGTTCGGCGTAGCATTCCATCTGCTTCGCCTTCTCCGTCCACCATGCATTTTTAATGCGACTGAGCTCTCGAGTCAGTCGCCGCCGAAGTTTGCGAAACTGACTCTTCCTTCTCAAGTCGCTGGAGTCTGTGCTGTTTTTGATTGAGATGCATGGAGGTGAAATACACCTCATTACTTTGTGCGCTCTTCCATGTGTTTTGTCGTTCGGTGGCTGAAAAGACAGTATTTCTGCCTTGTGTTCCAGTAGTCACCGGTTCGTATCCGCTTAAGTGCGAACAACCTCACGGTATACTCAGTGCACGCGCGACTGGTGATGGCTGCATAACAGCGTGGCGATGGTAAAATGTGCCGACGTACTGCTGATACAACGTTTTTTTTATTTTTTTGTGTAGCACTTATGTATGAAATGCTGCGTGGTATGATTCCGTCTTCAGACTTCCCGATTCTCTTTCGAGATAAGTCTGTCCATCTTTCTGAGCCAATCCCTAGTGGCAAGAATATCCGTGACCTATTGGCATGACCTTTGCTTACGCACTTCATCTTTCCAGTGATACATTGCTTTATTCAAAAGTACGTGTCGCGCCTGTTTGCATATATTCTCTATTACACCCTGCACAAAACTTAGTCAACCTAAATTCATGACAGCTTAGGTGCAACTTATTAAGCCAACGCTTGGTCCGGTCAATGTTTCGTCAGCTTGTATTCTTCACCGAATATTCATCTTTTATTGGTCTAACTCCATACAGACATTTTTAGATGTATGTGTTTGTACGTACTCGCGCCGTCCACTTCTTTCCACATTTCAGATCATGCCGCCGATACCTGAGACCTTATTTTCTCGGTTCTTCTTCATCCCGTCTCATTTATGACATAATCACACATGTTTGTGCTCTATTCTGCCTCAATTACCTGGGCATCGCGTTCCTGTTACTCAAAGCGCACCATGTTGTCTATTTTTGGCGGTGAGTGTCATGTGTCACCTTTCTGCGACTGATATTTCACTTTTCTTTCTCTCCTACGTGCAATGGTATGCCTTCGGAGCGGCCTCGGCTCAAACTCTCTTTGAGGCGAGCGTAAAGCATTTCTCTACGTAGTTCTGTGTAATTGTAAGGGCTGCTGCACAAGAAAATCTTCGATGCCACCAGGTACAAAACCACATAAGGCTTGTTTGTGGACGGTCAAGTCACGAGTCCGTTCGTCATTGTTCATCACTCCTTTAGATCGGCTTTGACCACTGGGATTTACATTGGCAATCTAGATAACATAAGGTTCCATTTTTGCACCAGGTGGAACTTTCCGTGTGCATTCGTTTCATTTCAAGACTACTACAGCCAGTCTTCTCATTGCTGAATTCGTACGTTTTGAGGTTATTGCGTCTTGTCACCGGCCATCTGTGACATGTTATTCTTGACCCTGTCCACAAGTCTACATTCAGCTGTTCCGGTCATCTTTAGCATTGCAGCTAACATTTTGTCAGTTACTGTAATCATTTTTTTCTTACACTCCTTTCTAGACAAATGCGCTTTCTTGGACACATTGTTCCGCTGTTGCTGATCATTTTTCTACCCTTAATATGTTCCAAGCCAACTGAAACGTCCGAACTAGACCCGAGTCCAATATCTGTACGAAAAACGATCAAACTGCACGAAACGATCCAACCATCAGAAAAATCTATCTCATCACACCTCCATTAGTTTTTTGCCAGTCCACATAGGCATTCGTGGATATCACTTATCTTGGTGTCCGGTTTCTTTATGTAAACTGGTTCCGTTGCCGCTATTTTTATTTCACCTAGTTTTTTACATCTGTTCACAACCCTTTTAGCGCTTGTTCCATGACCACTCCACACTTGGCGCTTTTCCTGTGTGACTTCACTGCTTTTGATGTTTTAGAGCAGATTTTTTTTAGAAATTGTGCAGTTTGCTTGCCACGTGGCCAAATTGTTTCTACCCACCAACACAGCTTTTGTTCGTTCACTTTCCTGTGCGACTCACTTGTAATGAGGGACATAACATTTCAGCAGCCCTTTATTGTTTCCTTCAAGGTACACTTTTTTGTTGCGCCTGTCTTAATAAATGAAAAAATAAACTTTATTCTGGACGATGCGAGCGACGCCTGTACCGGCATGATCCGGTAATTACACACTTGTATAAAACGCTGATCACAGATGGATGGTGAAAATACAAAAACCGACCAAACAATGACGTTTGGAAGGACAGCAATGGCGCAAAACATGGCTGATTAAAATGAAATTATGTCGGCTGAGCTTCAACCTCTCATACTAATAACAGCTAGCTCATATGTGAGATTAAGGTGGCGAATCAAATACTGAGTCTTATGAAATATGGATTCTGCTCGTGTGCCTGGCTTGTTGTTAAGAAACAACGTAATAGTTTGATCACTTTCTGTCCATCTAAGAACTTGATGTGTTTGCAAAATTCGCGTTCAGTTGTTCCAGATTATGGCATCCTGCCTAAGGAGAAACTTCGCAGATCTACTGGTACAAAACTTGTATCCAGCCACTGCGTTCACTTTATTTGGTGTGTTAAAAACGGCTGATAGTATTAATGGCGCGCTGAGATTGTAAACATGTCTATTTTTGTGCAAGGTGTTGCAAAATATGACCACAATGTAGCCGTAGCCACAGCGGGTCAAGCTGGGGCATAGCACATCGTTCAGGATATTCCAGCTTTCAAGGAGCACCTAAATGGTGTTTTGTGAGTGCTCTCTGTACTTGTTCCAAGGCAATGGGGTCACGCTTATTTGAGGCACTGGATACCACTGAACAATATTCCAACCTGGGTCAAGTAAATGAGAAGACTCGTAGAGAAAAATACATCCAATATGTCTAATGCTTTACCTTATCCTCGCGGGAACATAAGCTACTTGTTCACGGGAATCAAATGGGCATAATTATCTGGATTCCAGGTTCCGTGTCGTGTGAGAAAGATTAGTTTTGCCGTCAAGCATCAGGCTGCTGTGAATCGAATCGCATTTGCAGGACATTGCGCAACATTCGCCTGTAGGAAAAGACATTTTCCACTTTGAGCACCGGGTTCCAAGCGCATGGAGGTGGAGTTGGGTCATGATCCCAACACCATTGTTGGCCTCCGGACGGAAAGTGTATGGCACTTTGATTTCATTGTAAAACAGAAATGGTGTGCAGAATTCTACTGTGTCTAATATATTATTAACACATATTAAGATCAGTAGCGACTCAAGGACACTGCCTTGTACTACACCGCTTGTGACAAGTGTGAACTCAGATTTTTGTTCTTGAACTTTTACTACGCATTCCATTTGTAAGGTATTACCTGAACTAGGAAAGCAAGGGTTCTCCTGTCCTGTAGGATGTCATTTTCAATATTGGTTTTTTTGAAGCACCCAACCGAAGGCCTTGTACATTCTGAGAAAAATTATTTACCGACTTACCGAGATCATGTGAGGCAGTTAGATAGTTTAGATGTTCTATCTGGCACGTTATGCAGGACCGAGTATGCAAAAAAATGTGCTGTGAGTTGCTTTCTTAGCACTAGTAATTCTGTCCTTTGACAGGTTGCTCTATCATTTTTGATAAAATAGATGTATGGCATATTTAGTGATAATTCCTAGTCCCGAACTTATAGCCTGGTTTGTGTCGCAGAACAACTGGCGTTTTTCCGCTGACCTGGCAACAATAGCAGTGGGACATCATCCCCACCGAATTTTGCAACTACCGGGGGAATATTATCTGGACCGCCGAAATATGCTGATTTTGTGCTCCTGAAGAGTTTGTGTATATGATGGAGCTCAAAACTGGTACAGTTGAGCCGATCAACTGCAACTGGTGACAATATTTCTGGGTTCTATATCCACGTTGAAGATGACGCGGAAATGTTGGTCAAACATTTAGTTAGTTTGAGCAGAGTCTGTTAGGTAAGCTGGTACCTTGATTACATTTGGTGGTCCTGTGCATTAGACGACCGATCACGGTTTTTGAACCGACTGCCGAGGGCCTGTTTTCATCAGCGATTTGTTTGGTGTGATACGTCAGAATCAGCAATGTAGCCAACCTATAGTTTTACATGATGAATGCGAAGTCATTAAATAAGTAGTTTATTCCCGAACTACATAAGACACGCCTAAACAGGCATGATTAATTTTTCGGTGGGCTATTTGTAGATTTCTGAGTTAAGATGCTGTTTTCGCGACCTGGGGGAAAGTGTCTATGGTTGATAGGAGTCAGTATCTCGAGACAGAGATTGATCTTGTCATTAAGCGCATCACCTGCGGCTGATGCGACGTCGGTGAGGAATAAGAAATCCCCACTAAGTGTACCTCAGTAATATAGCAAACGAGTCTCAATCAAGTGATCTGTAGTCCCTTGCGATAGCAGTTTACACGAAATTTCGGTGGCAGTTCACTACAAACTGATCTGCGCTTCTCAATGCTGTTTCATGAATTCTAGGCGGAACATCAGGAACACTGATCGATTGGCTTAGCTGGGTAGCGCATACCTTCTAGGTACGAACCATAAGATTGATCACATTAGCGCTTACAGATCCCTATCTATCCTAATGCCTTTTGTGCGGCGCCACGCCGTCTACTTAGCGTTCTTTCACCCGCTCTACTCCGATCACACATTTACTTCACAATGTCTCAGAGAATGTGTTCGCTGCTTACCAAATCAGATTTAGGGTTCGCTTGTGGACGTAGTTCCTACCTCCTTTCCATTTACAATCACTGCATTTCTGCTGCCATTTATTTATCTTTCCTAACCTAAAAGTACTAGTTGTTTTTCCTTTCAACTAGCACTTTTGCTTGCGGCTCATCAGCTCGATCTCTGTTTGAATCCGTCGATCGATTGAGCTTTTGGTAAAGGTAGCAACTTTTGCTCCCGAAATCTGATCGATGACGCTATCAGTTACTCTCCAACGTCACTTCGGGCGATCTCAGCTGCAACTACTTGACAGGCCTGCTATGTTTATGTATAAGAGGTACTGCACACTTGGTGTTGCATAAAATCGACTGAAGAATTGCCGGTACTTGAATATCTTGCGCTATTCCTACGATTGCGATCATCCTGATACTGCTGCAATTTTTCTCTTGATCGCGGATTCATAAGTGTCTGTGGGGGTTGGGGTATTCCATGGTTGCAACTGCTTAAATACTTCCCGAAAAGGAGCGTCAGCACTTCTAGCGAACCGACTTATTGTAACAGTTATTTTACGTCTAAAACTCACGATGGTACGTGCATTACAGGTTCTTAAACCAGTGATGTATTCATGCGAGTCCGAAAGGCGACCGTTTACATGAATTGTATCTCACGGGCTTACTCACCACCTGTTCGTGCTTTCTTGATATCATCATCGATGCCACTGCCCACTTAAATTCATTAGTCATGAAAACCGTTTGTCCCCTTCAATTGACGGGTACTGTCATGTTAGCTGTGTTAGTCCAGCGAGACATACGGACACAAAGGTAATTGGCCTGTCCACATAGATTGCTGCAACCTTCCTCAATTGAATTGTAAGTCTACTTCTGCTACTGTGTATCGCAGTTTTCACAGTCTAAACGTATTACAGTGTCTAACTATATTCAAGACCGCTTGTGGTGTGTCCCCTTCTCCCTCAATCTCCAACCCCCTTTTTCTTCATTCGGATCCTAAAGTCGGTCGGGTGCGCAAATGGAGCGTCCTAGATGACGGAAAATTTGAAACCTTGCTGCTCAAACCTTCATCTTCGGATGCTAAAACGCACTGGCACCCGAGTGCACTTTCTCCACCACAGTCCAATGTTACACTTGTACTACCAATCCTTCAGCGTACTTTTCACCCACAGTCTGTCCACCCTGTAGCCTCAAGTGCTTTGCACAAGTAACAGCCATCTAATTGTGATGTGCGTGTGTTGCTGACCTATTCAGTGATCGATGGACGGTCATCTCCAACTTTTGCGCATCTTTCGCTAATTATTGAAGTGATGGCATTCATTGGCTGCATAAAATGCACAGCCCCGTTACGTCCGCACTGTTCGGATTCACTGTTCTGTGTAGTGATGAGACAGGCTCTGCACCCGTCACTCCTGTTTTGTTACCCGAGCGTTTCACAGCCTTTGCATACCGCTCGTTGCATAGAATTTTCTAGTATCGGTCTCTCCGATGTCTTGTTCTCTGTTTCTAAACTACATCTTTCTAATCACCCATTCAAAACTGTAGTAACTTGTATGGACATGCCGCGCCCTCCTTTCCGTATGTGGAGTGGTGCCTGGGATCGTTTAAAGTACATGAGTTCGAGGGAGTGCCGTCATTCGTTGCTTTGTCATCTCTTATTTTGATAGCTTCTTTAAAGCCCACATCAGAACTAGCTTGCATCAGCAGCGATCCCACAAATGCTCATAGGTGTCCAAAGTAGCCACTCTATGGGCAACTACCCTTCACTTATCTACGCCGATATTGTCATTACTAGATCGTACTTTGAGGAACCTAACGATCGATGGAGTGACGTGGTTGTAAGGTCCAACTAATACTTCCTCTTCAAAACAGGATTGTCTATTTTTCCACTGTTATAACGCTGCACCCGCAATCGACCGGTTGATTCACGCGTGCTGGTAAATCTGCGCCCTTACGCCTGCTCTGTTTGACGCCTTGGCAAACCCGACAGGAAGGAAGACAGAGGAAGACTCAGCCGACCAGAGTTGTAGTAGGACCGAGGACGCTCATATTTATATGTCGGTCTCACCAATCCTCTAAACATCGCCTGGCGGATTTGTCTGTAAGCCCACGTTCCACACTTGATTGTCCGCACCGTCTGTCCAGTTCACCGTCTTGTTCGGTCACCCCAGTCTTCATCCGCCTACCCGGGGCATGGCAACGTACGTGATGTCTGACGCGCGATTTCATCAGCTCCCGGTCGAACCTTGGAAACAAGCATGTTGTTTGATGCGCGATTTCATCGGCTTTCGACTGGGCCCTGGTAACACGCTCACAGTGTCTGTCCCACGCACGATTTGAGGCGAACGTGCGCGCGTTGGCACTCAGCTTTCTCGCCCAACTGTCACCTCCCTTTCCGAATTGAGTCAGCTTTCAACTCCTTCGAACCTGATTGTGTTCGTAACTTCTTGCCTGGGGATCGATTTGTAGCCGTTGTGGTTTTCTCTTCCGAGCCGGCCTGAATTGTACATCTG